GCGACTTAGCTAAATTCTCAGTTATGTAAGTGCGCCAAAAACCGTGGCATTCAAATTGAAACCCACTAGTTTAAGATAAGGCCTCCATAAATAATTATAAATAACTTTTCCTTTCTTTGACATATGCTTCTAGCATTCAAACAATATCTATTAATTCAGAAGTCAAACAACAAAAATCAGCGTTATATTTTCAAATTTTCACAGGACTAGTTTCGATGATTTTACCGAATCACCATCCTCAGCTGCAAAAGCTGAACGAGATTAGATAAGATAAGAAAGCCTGGACAGAAGGTAAGCTAGTGGCGCCATCTGTTGATGAAACCAGAAATAAAACATAATTTCTTTAAAGGCCGAAGGCAATAGTCAATAGTGACAGGGGCTTTTCCCCCAACGTTATTAATCAAGCAGTTAAAAAATTCTTATCACAACACACTAAAATGCACACCCTTGTTTTAGGAGATTATAAAAATTGTGTTGTCATTCACTTCTTTCCATCAGCTATAAAGTTGCACATTTCCTCGGGTTTTCTGGGGTATTTATAGGATTCCTTGCCAGTGTGGTTTAATTTACACTGGCCAAAATTTCCTTAAAATAAAAGCCTTAAAATTTCGCGTCAAGGAACATGAGGCGTATGTTAGAAAAAAGGAAACACAGAAGCTTTTGTGTTGTCCAACGTTGTTGGTCCGAAAATCACACTTTCAATTTTTCTGCTGCCAAAATTATTTAAAAAAAAATCTTCTATTAGAGAACTGGATTTTCTAGACGCATTTCACATTCAAAAAAATCTTTCTGTTCCTAGTCAACGATCCTAATTCCAATCCATCTTTGCCTTCGGCCTTTAAAGAAATTACGTTTTGGTTCTGGTTTCATCAACAGATGGCGCCATTAGCTTATCTTCTGTCCAGGCTTTCTTATCTTATCTAATCTCGTTCATTTGTGCTTTTGCAGCTGAGGATGGTGGTTCGGTAAAACCATCGAAACTAGTCCTGTGAAAATTTGAAAATGTAACGCTGATTTTTGTTCTTTGACTTCTGAATTAGTATTTGTTCGGCGTGTTATTGTGTCTTAATATCTATTAGTTTAGTCACATGTTTATCATCGTTAACGTTGACTGTTTATTTACCCTTCAGATACTGAAAATACAATGCCCCGTGACATTTAGAAATTTGTAACGTTACGAAATGCTGTCTATTCTGACGTATAACGAAAATTTTTAATCCGAAAAATATGAATACTTCGTCATGTTCGTCTTCCGTTATATATCTTAAGGCGTCGTATCATCGAATTTTGTTCCACCTTCATCATCATTGTTATTTTGATCCATAAATAAATAATCATTGTCCGTTCCGTCTTTCACTAACACCAAACATCTTTGTCTTAGCATGATATTCGCAAAATGAATGGCTTTGCATTTGAAACCAGCACTGTGTTTGTTTCATTTCACGGGTACCATATTTACTACTAAAAGGGGCACTAAATCAACCGTATTTCAACTAAAGCAAACGCGATTTTCTGAAGTCTTCGATTTTCTGAAGTCTTCGATTTTCCTTTCAAAATCTTGGCTTCAAATGACTACAGAAAGAGAAAACATCTTATTCCTAATTCCACGAATTTATTCAGAATGGAAGTGCTTTACAGTAGCATTCCTTCGGACAGTTGCATTGAATAGAGTCCCTATTCAATGCATACTCTTTGCCGGAATATTTACTCCCTCCAGCATTTAAAATCCTCTAAGCGGCAAAGCCGTATATATACGGCCTAGAATATTTTTTGTGATATCTGTAAGAACGTATATATACGTGCATATTAAAATATGTCAAAGAAATTAAGGCAATATATCAAAAGAAAACAAATCCAGGTTTGAGATATCAGGAGAGTTTTTACAATAAAAGCAAAAAAATAATTTGTTCTCATAGTAGTTTTGGGAAATTTGTGCTTTCTTAGTGAAAACCCTGCCCGCTCAGAGGGTTAATTCACACACAGATGGTTCCCTTTATTGCTCGTCAGTGCAGATAACCATTGCTCGAAAGGCTAGGACAAATGCTTGAATAATTGACCTCAAGATAAGAGCATTTCCATTTCTTTCTTTTTTTCTCTCTCTCTTAGGTAAATGCGAATAACATGAGTTTAATTTATCACCACTGCGCACAAGGGATAACTCTGTTCTTCACTTGCATGTTGGTTTTAGTTGTGTTAGAATTACCGGAAATTTATGGGTATAGTTATTACAATGGTGACGTCAGCAAAGCTCGAAAATTTTTGCTCATCCTCGTGAATGGTTGCCGATGGGAATCCGGATCAGGATAGTGTACAACTTCCGGGATTTAAGAAGCTCTCAGAGAATGGCGTGCATGCTCCGTATGTGACACCAATTTTCCGTCTAATTCTTACCCGAATCGGTACATGCTGGTTACCGGTAAGTCAATTTAAAAACTGCGGGGAAAAAAACATTTATCTAGCAATTCCAACAAATGTAGATTATTAAAATTTTCTACTACTTTTTACCGTTAGAAATGTCATGAAATCAGCACACGAAATTGTGGTGTTTCATACTTATATTCATAAAGAACTAGTACGGAATGTTTTATTTGTACAATATTCTGATGAAAAATTCTGATTAATTAATGCGTGCTTTATTATGCACACCTTAATTAATCAATATGTCGTAAGTTATCGTATAAATAAAACATATTTAAACTAATATTCTGATAAGAAATATAAGTTAAATAACGCATACATTAATTAATATCTTGTAAAATTAAATTAATATAATTTTTTTTAATTCGTAACTACAATTTTTCGTAAATACAATTTTTTTAGAGTTTTGGTCCAAAGGGGCAAATTGCCGTGAATATTAAAAAAATACTATATGAATATTAAAAATGTTTATGGGCGTTTAACTGTATTTGGTTTTCGTGTTTTTCTATATCTTTCGATTTTTATGAAAATATTTTTTGGGTTTTATGTATTTTTGTCTTGCCGCGAAGTGAAAACTGAACGAATTGAATGAGAAATGTATATCTAACGAAATTCGAAGAAATAAGTTTAAATGAAATGCAGTAAAAAATGCATATAACTTAATTTTCCGTAGAAGTAACTCATGTGGTGTCCGTATTAGTTTTTTTAAAGTTATTTTCTCTAAATATGATGAAAACATGTAGGGTAAGTTATGCGAAACACGCCTTAAAAATTACTGTGCTATTACCTTTCTCCCTCATTCTGGAAAAATAATAATGATTTTTGCTTTTACTTCCTTGTACGAAGTAAAAAGGAAGTATTGTAATCGCGAAAAGATTCAGGCAGCATATTTCAACGAAAATATCACTTTGACCGCTTTCGAATGCAATTTAACGATGTTTTTGCGTGATATCTGTACGTAAGGACAGAATAAAAGACTCTTTTCCTCCAAAAACACCAAAAAACTGCTTTAAAATTAATTCTGAAGAGAATTTTTCGTGGCGTCTGTACGAACGTATGTACGCACATGCGTACGTACGCATCTCGCATAACTCAAAAACGAGTAGCCTTGGAACGTTGAAATTTTGTATATAAGACTACTATAACATGTAGATGTGCACCTCGTATTTTGGTTTCAATCGGCGCGCCAAACGTATATAAATATATTTATAATTATATCCATTCTGTTACCCGGCTCAGTCATCTCAGTTTCTTTACTCTTATATGTTTTGTAAATTGTACATTTTTTGCTTTAAAAACGATTGAATTATGTTTTTTTTTTATCTTCCGGTTAAGGGTTTTATACCTTTAGTAAATCCGTATGCAATATTTTTAGAATTATCAACAATTTTAAAGTTGTTTAAGTGCCGCTAAGCCTAATTTGATGGCGGCCATTGCTCTTGTTTACATTTGAAACAGCTGAGTAGCGGATTTGTTGCCAATCTAAAGAAACTTAGCTTCGCAACAACAAAGATAACGCCTTCATTTATTATTAAAATCATGCTTAATCCTTTCTGTAATTTTTTCGAGAAAATACGCGTTTAAGATTTACTTCGTAATTTTTAATACAGATATTTTCAGTTTTTATATATTTTTGCCTTGCCGCGAAGTGAAAACTGAATTAATTGAATGAGAAATACTCAATCGTCTGTGAAAAACTGTTTCTTTTTTTTGTTTGCTTAATTTCTTTTATGCATAGTTCTAGCTTTATTATAGTATTTGAATAGAACATGTGGCAACGATTAGATAATTCTTTAACTCTTTCGCATCGAAGTCGCCCCAAACGCCCAAACATTCAGACATCGGCTGGACGCCCGAAACGCCTGAATAATTTCCTACCCAGTGCTTTCCCCCATCACGTTACTGCATTACTCATTGCTTTCAGGTGTTGTTAAATCACGTGTCAATCATTCTTTTGAAGCTACTAAAAGTAGCTTCCTTGTTTCCTTTGTTCCTTCCTCTCCTTTGTTTACTGTCAGTGGTTAGCTTTTGATGCCCCGAAGTTGCAAATCCCGTCCCAAGGGGGAACTTCACCAGTGTCAAAGCGTCTAACAAAGTTCTCGCTTTACTTAAGTAGGCTATTGTTAGTGCTGTAGTATTCAACTTGTCATGGGGGAAGGAAGAGCATTCCAAGAGAAATTCTTAGATACGGGCGTTTTCGATGTTTGGGGAATTGAGATTTTGCCCTCTCTCGATGCGAAAGAGTTAAATGATATAAATTTTGTGCATTCTGAGTTATAATATGAACGAAATATAATACTGTTAAGTAAATCTATCGGCAGAGTGTCACTATGGTAAACAAAGTGAATTTTAAAGAATGCATTTATTCTATTGTGGTTTATGCGCTGTCGGCGAAGTAGGTTTAATTCAATCTAATGAGTTTAAATGAAATGCAAGAAAAAATGCGTATAATTTAATATTCCGTACAAGGTAGTCATGTGGTGTACACATCAGATTTTTTAATAAATAGTACAAATCTCATAACTGGTGGAAAAAGATACAGCATTTCAAGTAAAAACACGTGAATATATCAGACGTAAACATCATATAAATATAATTTCATTTATTATTCTGGCTTCATCATATTTAAAGGCTATAAATTCCAAAGCACACAGCTTTATCTTTTTACAAAATGCTTATTGTAGAATTAAATCTTCAGCTTACAGAAAATATAATAAAACTTTACGTTACTTAATTATAACATTGTATTTTGCACTAAAACGTTTACCTTTCTTTAGTGTAATCTGCCTTTTAGCTTGTTCTGCTGAATTGCGAGATCATATGCATCCTTTCAGTTTCTGGACGAAAGTTGTATAAATTAGTATTTGATTTCTTGGTGATTTTTGATGATAAAGTCCAACAAAATACTGTGCTGTTATTCAGTGTTTAAATCAATAGAAACATCTTGAGAACAGTTCATATAGAGTGCGGATAACTGGAACTCTATTAGATTTCATTTTATGCAGATATAAATTACGAAGGTAGCAAATGTGTCTTAACCTTCCTGATGTTTTCTGTCTCGGGGTTTAATCATTTTAAAAACACCATTTTGACTTAAATTAAGATCATTGAATCCAATAGCAGCCCTTAAGCTATTACGGTTACAGTCATATTTTTCTGATCCGATCCTTTCGAGTTCCGTGCGGTGCAAAGCAATTCGAAAGTTCCAGGCTTCGCCGGCTTCACATCCCCCACAGCTTGATATCGATGTCGTTTCAAAGATTTAACCCTTACATCCATGATGTCACATTTGCTAGAAACGTAAAACAGTGCTGTTAAAATGATGTAATGTTCTTTAGGATTAATAGAACACACTATTGTACAACAAACAATTATTAGTGTGACATTATAAATAAGCAACTTGAAGAAATTTTAATTGAAGTTAAGTTGAAACCTAGTCTTTTCTTTCTGGCGTCTGTTTTTGTTTCTTACATCATGTTATGATACATTATCACAGCTCAGATTGTAGAGATTGTATTAGATTTTTTTGAAGCACGATACAATAAAAATGAGCTTTGGACCTCTTGATTACCAGTCGGATGTACACACACTCAGAGCTTAAATTGCGCCGGAGCCCACCGAAGCCTGTCTCCGGACCTTCCTAGTTTTGGGGGTAAATCATAATTCTAGACGGAGCACACCAGAGCCCTAAATAAGAAGGCTTCGGCATTTCTATGTAACTGAAAACCAATTTCAGTAGAAATCTGATCACGAAAATTTTATTTTTAGCAGCAAAATTATATTAAAAATCGCTTATTAAATTTTCATTTATGTCTGTACATTTAATTTAATTACTTTAACCCTTTGCGGAACAATGTGTCCGGTGCGGACACACCTAAAAATTTCCTTCTGTACGCACAGAAAAATTGAATGAAAAAGGATTTATAGGTTACTCTGAACCTTCTTTATTCATAGTAGATGGCAGCACAACACAAATCAGCCCATATAGTTTAGCCATGTTTAGTTTTTTAAGCCCTTATTTTTCAAAGAAATCTTCCAGATTTTTTTAGGGTATAAAAAGAATTGTTTGAAAAGGAATTTATATGTTATTTATTTGGCTGTATGCTAATCTCCTTATTCTATACTAGTTTTAAATTTTTACCTTGAAATCTTGCCTCAAATCAAACGCGAACCCTAGGTGTGCCCAGACCGAGCTCACCGATCATCTAGGACAATTGAGAGTTTGTATTCTTTGTTTCTCCGCATCTCATCGGCCAGTTCATTGACAACAATGCTCGATTCAGCACTCTTTTCGAAGCTCTATTCAATCAGTTTGCCCACTTTGAGCACACGCACAGAATTAAAACGATAAGTGGTATCTTCACAAAATTTTACTTGTGTATTTCTCTAGGCCTAATTAGACTGCCTACTTTTTTTTAAATCAAAATTCCCACTTTAAAAGATAGCGTGCCGGAAAGGGTTAATCTTTAATTATTTTAAATACAATTAATATATTGAGAAATAATTATTAATTAAATAATAATACAAATACTAATTATTAATATTAATGTAATAACTGTTAATTAATCCGGAAGTAATTAACTATTTAATTTTAAAAATTATTAATGATTTTAATGTACGTTTTATTTATTTACTCTTGTTCCTCTTTCCTGACGGTCTTGCATGGGGCTCCGGCACTTCTAATTTTAGCAATTAAGCCCTGCACACACTGGTCAATGAATTAGAAACCTTTGAGATTTTCATTTGAAATGCGTGCTAGCGATGAAGTGTGAAATTTTTTTATGACGTGTGACGTGGGTTACGCGTGGTTAGAATGCTAGTAATAAGTAAGGTGTAAGAGTGCTTTTTACGATGAATGAAGTAAATTGGGGAAAAAAAAATGGCAAATGTTTCACCATTTGAAAAAAAAAAAGGCTTATTGTTGGTGCCTATTTAGCAGGGGCCTCGATTTCGAAGATAGTAAATCTCATTGGATTCTGAAAAGCAGCCTATCAAAGGTTTTATAAAGTTTGAAACAAAACCCACGGTGCTTTTCTAGAAGACGCAACTGTGGTTCGAGCACAAGTTTCCAAGAGAGCGAACGGCGTTGTCTCCGACGAATTGTACGGCAGAACAAGGACTCTATTGTTCTTCAACTGACATAGATTGTCAACCAAGGCTCTTTCCAACAGATTTCAGCTCGAACCATGTGGAGATTTGCAAAGGATAGAAATACATAGTCGGGTGCTTGCGAGAAAACCACTGCCCGACATGCAAGAATTCGTTTGCAGTGGTGTCGGGAAAGAAGACACTGGACATCTGAAGATTGGGAACAGGTAATGTGGTTGGATGAATCACGCTATACATTATTTTTTACCACTGGAAGACGCTGAATTTGGCGAGAACCTCATGAAGCCATGAAGCCATCTTGCCTTACTCGCACGGCGCTTGTAGGAGTGTCATGATATGGGGCATGTTCTGCTGGCATTCATGCTGTTCCTTGAGCGTAAACAAACAGCCCTGAGATACCTATGTAGATATACCTACAATGTTGCATTTTTACCCTGATGACGACGGATATTTCATGGACGATGATGCAACTATACATCGTGCCAGAAGTGTTCAAGATTGGTTCACTGAGCATCAGTCTGACTTCCAACACCCACCCTGGCCACCGCATAGCCCATTTCTAAACCCCATAGAAAATGCGTGGGATATGGTAGAAAGATGCATTGAACAGCATGCTCCCCTCCATCTATTTTACAAGATCTCGAAAGCTGCATAGCTAGTGCATGGTATTTTCTGGACGTAGATGCACTCTAGAAGTATGTAGACTCGACGCCCAAACGAATCAGTTATCTGTTCAAACGGTGGTTCAAAAAAATATTGATATTGGGTTTCTGATTCATTGGCCAGTGTGTGTAATTACTTTCACTTACATCACAAAGACAGTCTGTGAGGAGGAAGTAAATATTTTACTAATTCATCTGTGGGAGCTAGCTAATTGTGATTTCTGACGGTTTGAATTCAAACATTCAGGTAAGATCTTTAATATGTCTTTTCTCCAAATTGCCAATTTCAGAACCACTGTAAGTCTAGCAATAAAATAATTTTTAATTATTGTTTTAGTTTATGTAAACATTAAAAATAAAATATATACTTTTTACAAGGTTTTTTTTTTAGTCCAAAGGGATTTGAATCCCGAAGGACTATTAGTTTCGTTTTGGCATTTTGCGTCGGACTCATAAATGTCGGTTCACTTTTCAAACTGTTGCCACAAAATGTTAGAGTCCTGCATTATATTTGAAGAAATTAAATAATGAAAAATCTGCATAAATGTATGTATATTTCTCGTATTGTGATAAAACAACGGTACATAGAGTCATCGAATTTTGAATAACGTAATCCTCCAACGAATATGAGCATGTGGAAGACCAAATTTGAAATTTGAAATTTGTTTTATGATCGATTTCCTATTTTTTAAAACTTTGACGAATTTTTGATTAAAAAACTCAAGGATTTCAAAGCGAGCAATGGCAACGTTGTGCAGAAAAAAACATTTTTATCTCCAGCGCGTGAGTCTCTGTATCGGAAATTCTAAAGATATGCTCGTTTTAAAACTATTTTGCGATATTGCTGTTGCACTGGATCTTATGGTTTAAGTGCGAGGAACATGATATTTAATAAAGAAAGGTAACACACAAAATGTTAAAAAACGCCCCTTTGGACGTAATTTAAAATCTGAAGCATTTCAGATTTTGTTTTTATTTATTATTATTTTTTTTTTTTAGCTAGCTAGTGTTTGTCGCTGTGATCAAAAGTTTGCCATTAATTTTTAAATTACTTCCTGATAAGCTATCGAACTCAAAATTTTTACACACACTCATTATTGATGTAAAAATAGTCTGTTGCAGTGATATGCTTTTAACTTTTTGATTTAAACTTTCTACTTTTTACTTTTACTTACGTGTTCAAGACCCATTAAAGGCATTGTATATTTTCACGGCTTCCTGCTTCAAAAATCCTAATGACTTTATGAGTTTATAATTTATTATTACATATTTTAATAGACTAATAGCTTTTATAGATATTAAACATTTTAAAAATTAACATAATTTGCATTCACATTTATTTCTGAGTTAAATACGAAATACATAGGAGTGAACTACATTTTGCTTAACAGAGCAAAAGTTAAATAATATTATTATACAGTGACAATCAGTAAAACACTGCTAACATTATTAAAATTTTTAACTAATATAAGCATTAAAAATGCAAACTTTAGGCCATTCATAGAAAACTAGAAAACTTAAAATTGATGCTATCATTCTGATGTTAGATAATGATGCAACTATTATGTTTGTTAGCATAAATATGAATTAAATAAATAATAGTTGTCGAATATATTTATCTAAAAAGGGAAAGAAGTTAATTAAAAGATAAATTTTCTAATCGAATAATTATTTTCACTATCTTACACCCAGTCAGATTTTGACTGGTATATCTACGATATAAGCTCGTTTTTCTTCCTGTTTCCTGAGTAAAGATCTTCGATTAATCTAAGCGAACTAAATATCAAAAAATCATTTTACATCATTTATTTTTCATATACTTGTAATCGCGCTGTATTCGTGGATTTGGAATGATTGACCACAGCACTTGATAAAAAATCAAAGCATAATTTATTCGTCAGCATTACACAGGTGAGTTCCAAAGTCACGTTTGCAGCCGTCGAAAACTACGATAGCCTTCAGGCTACAACGATGAAGACAGCTTCACGGCAAAGCACTAAAGCACAGCTCCCGACTCAGTCCATCGCTCTTGGAGCTCAAAACACTACTATTGAACTCAACCTACTCTACAAGATACACTGCTGATAGACTCGGCTATAGCTTTTGGCTTGCCTTCAAAAACATTCTGGGGGCCAACCAGTAAGAATTCGTTCCAGAATGTTCTCGCTTCGTCTATGAGAGATCGCCAACTTAGTTGACAAATGTCGCCAAATAGGTGATTTCGCGCCAAATCTAACAACCCTAAACCCGCTCTGCGGAGGAAGCTATCTTACCGCAGCTGGACTTTCCTAATAATATTTTTAAATATTTGTATGTAATTATTGATTATTTTATTTATACATTTCTGAATCATTTTATAAGTAGATAATTATTAATACTGGTATATTCGAAGGAATCAAAATATTGTTACATTTCCAACTGATCGTTACTCCCTTTAAAATTCAATTTATATTTTATTTGCTTTACTAATGCAAATTAATGTAATTTAACTATAATACACTGCTTTAAAAAAGTTAAGTGTGCAAAAATAAATTTGATATACCTGGAAATAATATAATTTCATTATGACATAATTTATGCTTTGATTGACTATACATTACATGGAGGTAGGCAGTTGAAAATTATTTATAATTTGGGGGAAAAAAGGGAAATTAAAGAAATAAAGAAAGCAGGAAGTAATAACCTGTCGTATATAATGATGAGAGGTTCAGGTATTCCATCCGCTGTGCAAGAAATGGTTGCCTCTTGACCAATTTTAACTATCATATTACTAACTGCTACTATTTGAGGCTTACCTAAACAAAGAAAATATGTATAAATATGTATTAAATACGTTCTATTCATACATAAAAAATTTTTGAAAAATAAAATTTGGTATTAATTTAGAAGTTAACTGAGGGATTAGCCATGGGAAGCCCTCTTAGTCCCATCGTGGCTGATATGTGCATGCACTATTATGAATAAAAAATTGTTTGAAACTTTAAACTTCGAGGTATGTTTCCGGTACGTAGACGATACTTTTACCCTGTTTGAAGGTAATGTAGATAATCTAAATAAAGTTCTTTCAACAATGAATTCTATTGACCCTGCTATTCAGTTCACTTTTAAACTTGAGACTTGCAATTCTCTTCCGTTTCTCGTCATTCTGGTCACACGTAACACATCCAACTTCAGTACTACGGTTTACCGTAAACCTTTATCGGTTTGCCTTCCACCACACTTTAAATCATATCATCCGACTAAATAAAAGTTAGCTTCATTTTATTCCTATGTTTACCGTGCTCTTCAAGTTTACTCCTCCAAACCAGCCCTTGATGAAGAACTAAATTATTAAAAGCAATAGCTATTGACAGGGGCTTTTCACCCAAAATTATTAATCAAGCAGTTAAAAAATTCTGATCTCAACACACTAAAAGGCACACTGTTTTAGGAGATTATAGAAATTCTGTTGTCATTCCTTTCCTTCCATCAATTAGCTATAAAATTGCACGTATTTTGAACAAATTTACCTTTCCAGTCGTTTATTTTCCTACAATAAAATTCCGAGTTTTAACCCCATTCCGGATATGAATTCCTGGGGTAGTTACATGGTTCTTTGCGAGTGTGAGTTAATTTACATTGGTTCAAAAGACTAAGACAGTCTTAAATTTCGCGTTAAAGAATATGAGGCATATGTTAGGAAAAACGAAGCACAGAAGTTCTCTGTTGCCCAGCATTGTTGGTCCGAAAATCCCCCTTTCCATTTTTCTGAAAACTATTCAAGAAACATCTTCCATTAGTGAATTATATTTTCTAGAGGCATTTCACATTCAAAAAAATCTTTCTGTTCTAGTTAACAACCCTAATTCATCTTTACCTTCAGCCTTTAAGGAAATTATGCTTTAGTTTTCTTGTTCATCAGTAGATGGCGCCAGTAGCTTAACTCCTGTCTAGCCATTCTTATTTTATCTTATCTCATTCATTCGCACTTTGGCAGCTGAAGGTCATGGTTTGGTAAAACCATCGAAACTAGTCCTGTGAAAATTTGTAAATATAAGGCTGATTTTTGTTGTTTGACTTCTAAATTAATATTTGTTCCGGGTGTTATTTTAATTTAAAATTTAATACCTTATCATTTATAACTTTGTTTTCCTAACGTAACTTCGGGTCAGTTTGTTGTAATATTCTGTAAACCTCACTATGAGGAACTTCAAAGGATGGAAAATTTGATTGATCATATCCGATCCTGTACAAAAAAAATGAAACTCATGTCTCAAAATGAGTAAAAATTGTTTGACGAATCCCAAAAATCTCATTAACTTTGCTATATCTGCTAAAAGAAATAAATAATAATTCTCATTTTAAAAATACTTTAAGTCCTTATTACAACTAATTATTATGTGTAATTATTAAATTTGTCGTCCGTTCCAGTTTCAGCATCACACGTTAATATTTTAAAAGGTAAATTGTTTAAGCTATATGTCATGGTTTTGTCACTTTAATGGAATCAAGCATCTTCCTTTTAAACAATCAGGTACTTACGTATTAACGCAACCACCTTGGCGCAATTTGGCGATTTTTTACAGATGAAAAGTTACTTGTCGGCTGAAAATTGGTGATTTTAGCGCCTTTCTCTTTAAAATATTTCCAAACCATCAGTGTTTATGGTAAGTCGATAAACATTATCAACATATTAAAGGAAAACATACATTAGCAATTTAAAACACTAATTTGAATTATTAAATAAGGATTACTGGATATTTTAAAAAACAAAACACTTACATTCCTATGCAAATCTTCCTATAATTTTTTGTGCTAATCTTCTCCCAATACATAGAGCGATTTGTTTTTGCTTAAAAGAACATCAGAGAATTGCGAAAACTTGGCTTTGTGCAAACCTCGGCCACAGCGGCTCTCTAGGAAACGCATTTTATGATGTTACCTTCAGAATTTTCTGCAAAATTCTGTATTTTTGCAAAAATTTTACCGCAGTTTCTTTTCTTTCTTTCATTTTTACTTCCTTGTACGAAGTAAAAAGGAAGTATTGTAATCGCGAAAAGTTTCAGGCAACATATTTCAACGAAAATATACATTTTGACCGCTATCGAATGCAATTTAACGATGTTTATGCGTGATATCTGTACGTAAGAACTGAATAAAAGACTCGTTTCCTCCCAAAAAAATTATAAAAACTGCTTTAAAATTAATTCTGAAGAGAATTTTTCGTGGCGTCTGTACGAACGTATGTACGTACGTATCTCGCATAACTCAAAAACGAGTAGCCACAGAACGTTGAAATTTTGTAGATAGGAGTGCTATAAACATGTAGATGTGCACCTCGTATTTTGGTTCCAATCGGCCGCACCAAACGTGTATAAATATATTTATATATATATCCACCCTGTTACACGGCTCAGTGATCTGAGTTCTTTACTCTTATATGTTTGTAATTTGTACATTTTTTGCTCTAAAAATGATTGAATTATGTTGTTCTTATCTTCCGGTTAAGGTTTTTATGCCTTTAGTAAATCTGTGTGCAATATTTTTAGAATTATCAACAATTTTAAAATTGTTTAAGTGCCGCTAAGCCTAATTTGATGGCGGCCATTGCTCTTGTTTACATTTGAAACAGCTGAGTAGCGAATTTGTTGCCAATCTAAAGAAACTTAGCATCGCAACAACAAAGATAACGCCTTCATTTATTATTTAAATCATGCTTAATTCTTTCTGGAATTTTTCCGAGGAAATAAGCGTTTAAGATTTACTTCGTAATTTTTAATACAGATATTTTGAGTTTTTATGTATTTTTGCCTTGTCGCGAAGTGAGAATTGAATTAATTGAATGAGAAATACACAATCGTCTGCGAAAAACTGTTTCTTTTTTGTTTTGTTTGCTTAATTTCTTTTATACATCGTTCTAGCTTTATTATAGTATTTGAATAGAACATGTGGCAACGATTCGATAATTCTTTAAATTATATCAATTTTGTTTATTCTGAGTTATAATATGAACGAAATATAATACTGTTAAGTGAACCTAGCGCCAGAGTGTCGCTATGGTAAGCAAAGGGAATTTTAAAGAATGCATTTATTCTATTGTGGTTTATGTGCTGTCGGCGAAGTAGGTTTAATTCAATCTAGTAAGTTTAAATGAAATGCAAGAAAAAAATGCGTATAATTTAATATTCCGTACAAGGAAGTCATGTGGTGTACACATCAGATTTATTATTATTATTATTATTATTATTCTGGCTAATTCCACAAGCTCATAGTTTAAAACTAAGGCAGCAAACTTCACGATTTGTTTTAAAAAAACCGTTGGAGTTTGGAATACGGCAAAAAAGAATGCATACAAAAAATGGCGGCGATGCTTAACTCAAGGACTGTTATGAACATGGTTCTAAGGTACCGGATGTGGACGCAGCCAGACCCAGGATGGTCTTATGGTCAAACCAAATAATTTGATCTTATGGTCATAACAGGCCACGCCCAATGGCTATAAAGAATTTTCTCCCTCCTTCAAGCATGCCTTCGTGGTGTAAACGGTCGCACACTCGGCGCATATTCTAAAGGTCCAGATTCGAGTCCTTGCGAGGGCATTGCATATGTTTCATGTCTCCTGCTTCAGAAAAACCCAATGATTCTACATTGTTTCGCTCATCGTTGCTTAATATTGAGACATTGTAAAAATTTGATGAGTTAAGGTGGTTGCGTTAGCGTAAGCGCCAACATTTTTTATAATTATGAATAATTATTTTATCCATAAAATATAAAATACTAAAAATGAAAAACAAAATTATTAAGGTGGTTACTTTTATTTAAGACCTTGCAATTATAATCTGAATTAAGTTAACCACTTGCGCTAGGACTAAACTTCACGTTTGCGGTGCCGTGCGTTACAATATAGCAAGCGGTAAAGTGTCTCATTTACGCCGTTCCGCGTCTGGGAATGCAATACAGAGCTGTAAGAGAAATAAAAAATCTCGTTGTTAGGCGACTTGTGCACCACGTTATTTTCATTTTTGAAATGCCTATCGACGAGGTGTTCACGTCGCTCGCGGTTTGAGACAAAAGCATCTCGACGTGCGTGGCACGTCTTTTTAGCGCAAGTAGTTAAAGACCAAAAAATACTTTGATAAAATGGGATTCGTTCCACTTGTGGGTAACCGACCGCAAGTAGCCCTTCTGACTTCATCTGATGATTAGTACATTGGTGAGATTGCCTAATACTTACTGCATTTTTGGAACTCAAAACATATTTATTATGATTATGGAAGTTCTCTCTCTCTCTCTATATATATATATAATTTATGTATAGCATTTATGGTAGAGAATTATAGTCTTCGTGACACGAGGAACCTGCTAACGAGGGTCTCTCTAGTCGAGAGTTCAAGAACATTTTGGCGTGTTGTTCCGATGGAAAAAAATCTGCGGACCGAATTAGCCACGCCTCCTTAATTTTTCAGTAGTATTTTACATCCTCTGATTCGTTATTTCTGGAACGATATCGTTGGAAAAACAAGATCATTAGTTCCTCAGCCCTCCTGAAATCGAGAGGCTTTGACGACAGACAAAGTGCAGAACGCTAAAATCTTTTGACACTGGTCGTGAAGTTATGTCTCTTCTACTGTCAACTAGGCCGAATTATTGCGTCTGCAATGTCGGGCCATGTCGGGTGATACATCGTCAACGCTTGGAAACAGTGACATGCGAGGACCGCACACACGATTTTCTCATCTCTCTGTGATCCACCACACACTCTTGTTAAATTTAGATGGTGGCAGAGAAAGACAGTGAGCTGTATTTGACTGAGGGGTTAAACTGAAAGGACCCTACAGATATGGTATATTGGAAATTTGCATTGAAAAGTGAAAATTGAATTTAAAAGAGATGAAACTGGATAATTTAATATGCAAAAAATGTTTCCTCAAAAGGATTGTAGAGTTCCTCACTTTGGAATTCTAAGTTAATGTTGGAAGAACTAATAAGCGAATAATCTCTTGAGTTCGGTGACAAGAAACAACAAGATAGAAGGGTAACTAACCCTTTATTATTCCAATAAGATTTAACAAATTCCGCCTGGGAGTGTACAAGCAAAACCCGCACTTGGACTTGAACTTAAAGGACTAAGAATTAAACTAAAACTAAGATTAACTAAAGAAGTATAGCCGAAGATATCAAGGTTCAAATCGAGTTGGCCCCTTAACTTATTTGACTACGAAGCTTAGCAAGGGCCCGAGTACGGCCGAGCGTAATAACAGCTTTGAGAGAGAGAGAGTGGCCAAAACGGCAGACGCGCGTAAATCAGAAACTCTGATTCTCTCTGACTCACTAAGTAACTTCGTGGTTAAATACCGCTCCTCCTCATTAAATATTCAGCAAGATTCCAAAACTACGTTCTGGCCGGAAGTAGTAAGTTGAAGTTAAGAATTTGACAGGAAAGGAACTTTAACTTAAAATTTAACTGTTAATAAAATTACCATAATCCTTACAGGATAATTATTTAAATATGTCTGAAAAATGAAAATAAATGCAACGCGAATAATGGCAATAAAAAGATATGTTTTATCATTAAATTTACGTAGAGATCAGATTTCTGGAAACTAAGATAAAATTCATAACGAATTGGACAAGCAATATTTTGGAAAGATTTTAAAACTTACTTTCCTTGCAGTAGCGACCTCTCCATCTTCCAACGCATGCGCATGTTCCATGGGCACGATTGCAATGCCCACCATTAGCGCAAAGGCATTTCTTACGGCAATTGACACCATAAGAATTTGGCGGACATCCTGGAAAGAAAATATATTTCAGAATGAATCACGGTTTTCAGTTTTGAATGGAAGTTAGAATTATATCGAAACTTATGCTGATCAAATCTTATCAAAGATTGATGCAATCTGGTTCTAACAACACGGGGCAATTGCAAGCATAAGTACTGTCGTACTGCGAGACATACATTCCCAAATATGATTTCTCATTTTGGTGATTGATGTTGATCAGGTATTGTACAGGACATGTTAAAATCCATCATTGAAGCCAAATGCATCATGGCAAGGCTTTGAACAGTACATCTAGGCAGATGAAGAAGAATCAGAGGTCATTAATTTCAAGATTCATGATGTCCATATTGTCTTTATCATACATTAATTTATGTTACAGAGGCTGTTCGCACATTTTTTAGACGATTTTGGTAAGCTGTAATAAAAACTCGTTTGCTGCAAAAGAAGTAATTGTAATTGTACTATGTTTTTAAAAGTCAAAACTATCGTCTGTGGCTTGAAAGTTTTGTTTTTATTCAAAATGGCGAATTTAACAAAGCAGTAGTTCGAAGGCTACATTTACGCTCATTCCGAAGAGAAATATGCATACTCCATTTTTGAAAACGATGTGAGAGTCGTGGTTTTGTGATATCTAAAGCGTCGATAGGTAATATAATCAACAAGAAAGGAAATAAACATCAAATTGGAGCCTCAAGGGGCACAAAAATTCCAAACAAGTATCCAAGGAAAAAACGGACATCTTCGACTTTTGCAAAGGTACGTTGTTTAATGTTAAAAGAAAATCCCGCTAGTCAAAGGACAGTTGTAAAATCATTTAAATGCACGGTGTCCACTGTAAACAAAATGTTAAAAGTTGATTTAAATCTTAAGAAAGCGAAAAAACGCAATGTGAATCGTCTTCTTCCAAAGCATATCGCTCAAAGCAGGACACGCTGCAGAATTCTATATGAGAAACACTTATCCAAAGAAAAATGGAAAACAATTGTCCCAATAGATGAAGCATGGGTGTATTGAAATTACTGTAACAAAAAAAGAGCCATTTATTATCATAAAAGGGTAGAAAAAAAATGTAAGTACATGGTTCAAAGAATCCAAAGAAAGTTTTTCTAAGGGATTCATGATTGTTGCTGGTTTTTCTTAAAATGGCAAGATACAAATAAAAAGAGTGCTAAAAATGTCAAGAATAACTCCAAATACTTATATATTAAATGAACATATTTTATGGCCAAATTTTCTGAATGAAATACCATCGCTTTACCCACAGTGCCATCCATCTGTGAGACTCCATCAGGACAAAGCTAGCAGTCACACATCAAAATCCACTGTAAATTTCCTAAAAGAAATCGAACAAAAAACTGGTATCGAGGCCATACCCTTCGTTGATATCCCTACTCAATCTCCCGATATGTCACCTATGGATTTTTGTGCTTTCGGACTTTTAAAAACTGCATTATCCAAACGTTGTCCCAAAACCCTAACAGGACTCTGTAAAGCTGTTCGGGAGAAATGGGATAGATTACCTCTTCTGCCACTTCAAAAGGCATTATTATCCTGGAAATTGCGATGTCTAAAGATAGTTCAGAATAAGGGATGTCAAATAGAACATTTAAAACACAAGAATTTTATGTAATTTAGTTTTGTGAATACAATATACATCGTCTAAAAAATGTGTGAACAGCCTCTGTATTTGCAAATGTATAATTTAACAAAAAAGGAATCTGTAAGCTTTCCTAACAAATAAACTAACAAATGAAGGAATATGATCATCTGACATCGACACAATCTCTTGCAGTGTCGTTCCGTATTATCAGTAATATAAAAATAGGAACTAGAGGGCAATAATTGCTTACTTCTAACATGGCAACTTCCAGCTCTTAAGAAGCAGCTGAAAACGCTACACGGATGAAGGCAGCTCGTCCTCAGCTACCTCGAAGATTTTCTTGAAGGTTGAAATCGTGCTAATATGGGGTCATTGCGAGCAATGACATTCTTGCATTCCCGAGATACGTATCCACCAGGTTTTTCGCACCGTAAATATTTTCCATCATCCATAAGAATAAATTCTGGACCAACTGCTGTAGCATTCGGTTTCATAGAAAGCTCTCCAAGGACTTCGTCCCGATATATTTAAGTCGTTACAGTGCCTCCCACGCGTAGGTCGGTATGCATATTTCACAAGTGCACATCAGCGTAGCCACTGAGGGAGGGGTTTGGAAAATGGACCAATGAGCTGCTATTGCTCTTGGTGACGCTAAATCTTCGTGCACGTGAGCGTATGTTGTTTACGTCTTAATTTGAATTTTCTTCGCAGTTATAAATATATGACGTAATGGTAGAAATCTTGTGCTTTCGTTTTCTGAGTTTTAATTAATCTCCGACATTTCACTTTCGTGATTTTTATGACGCATTAATGTTTGGATTGATGGTTACGGCATATTATGTGGATTAAGAGAACTGAAGTGTATATTATTTTAATTGAGCTGAGAATGACTGAAAGTGTTACAATGAATCTAGCGTTTTCTTATTTCAGTACTTGCATTCTTTTGATTTTTAAAGTGTAAGATTCAGAATATATATCTGATTATACCCATTGCTAATATTAAAAATTATATGTGAATCAATTGAATACACTCGTTGTGAATGAGATAAATTCACTCTTTTTGATCAGTTTTTCTTGTGTAGAGAGTACATTTAAGAGTGAGCAGTTATTAAATGTGAAATTTAACACACTAAATGTATAGGAATGAAAATTAGTAAAGTTTACTTTGAATAAAATTGTGCATTGGTTATTATTATAGAACATTTTTTTCATATAGACTGCAATAAAAAGTGCTGACTTCTATTTACACATATAATTGGTGTAAATATTTTTCTCATAGGCATAGTTTTATGTAAAGATTGCATTTGGGCTCAGATGTTTATCACATACTTCTTTCTTCATCTTATTTACCACTTATTAAGTAATATTTCACATCGAAATTTTTGCGAAGTATCCAACATGTGTTTGTATTTATTTCGACCCGGTAGTGAAATCTTCATAATTTACTATATTTGATCTAACTTTGCAATGAAAAGTTTCAGAAGCAATCGACGATGCTTTAATTATTTTGTACAGAAAATTGCGTGGCAGAGTATTTTCAAGCATCTTGCTTAAATCTTAAAACAAGCGAAAGGTCATGTGACGTGACAGAAATATTACTGGATGCTCATTGGTCCATCCTAGAAGCCACTCCCTCGGTGGCTACACAGATGTGCACTTGTGAAATATGCGATCGGTACAATACGAGTAGATAAAAACGTGTAGATCGGTACAATAGCTCAAAGAAAATACAGCCTATACTTTTAAACTCCCAGCATTAGAAATGTTTCTTGTGCATCTGGATTTTTAGACCTTCACAGCCACATAACGCAAATCTTGTCCTATTATGTGAAAAATACGGTGAATCATTCATTTGGTTTTCAATCTGAATGCTGATGATTGCCTTTCAACTGTGATTTCTAATGTTAATGTTTCAGAAACATGATCTCCTGGTACCCAAATGTTCAAATGTTTCTAATATTGAACCCAAATGTTTCGAAAACATGATCTCTTGGTCTCCCAAATGTTGCCACGATCGGCCATTTTTGGCGATTTCTCGCCAAATTTGGCGACAGAAGTTAGTCATCAAAATTTGGCCAAGATTGTAAAATTTGTCACCAAAATGTTGCAAAAATTGGCATTTTTTGGCCATTTGTTACCGAATTTGGCGACAAAAATTAGTCTCCAAAACCGTTGCCAGCTTGGCGATATCTCTGCAAATTAGAGAGTTAACCATTTAATCAAAGTTAAATAGTCTTGCCCTCGTATTCTTATGTTCGTCGCAGAGCATGAGTTCTCTCAGCTTTTCATGCTACATTATATAGAAAAATACAACAATTTCACTTATAAAACAAGTCAAGGCACAAGTCAAGGATGAGTATTCAATGAAACAAAACGTTCAGCTAGCTTCTTTGAAAAATTCTGCGTAACACTTACGTTTCTGGCAATTGAATCCCATGTAACCTGCTTCGCAGTCACCTTCGCAAGCCCCCGTTACCTTGTCGCAAGCAGCGTTTTCGTAGCAATGGCAAATCGAAGCGCAATTCCGTCCGAAACGACCTGGAGGACATTCTGTAAGAGAGGGATGTAACGTCAAGCTAGAAATGCATTAAATAACAGATTGAAAAAATAACAGAATTGCTTATTTTTGAGTAGAAACTCTTAATTTGATGTTGTAAAAATTGTTTTTTTAAATTGTTTTAACTGTATTTGGTGTTTTATATTTTCCTATATCTTCAAAGTTTTAACGAAGTTATTTTGAGGTTTTATGCATTTTTACCTTGCATGACAATTAAGTTAATTGAATGAGAAAGCCATCTCTTATGAAATTCGAGGATATACACTCATGTCCATAAATTAAGGATAATGCAAAATCAGGCAAAGGAAGAGTTAGAAGCAAAACAAACTTGATTTATTTGTAAAGCTTATTTATTAAACAAAAGGTAAAGAGCAAAAAAAGATGCTATATGTTTGATATTATTAAAAAAAATTAGCGATTTTTTCTCCCTGAAGCAAATTACACAAAAAAAAAAAAAAAAAAAAAAACCTATTTACAAAAAACCAATATTACATGGTTGGTATGATTGTTAATACATTGTATGCGTCGCAGACGATGCAATACAGTCCGTACAACACCTTGGCATGCTGAGTATCAAATTATCGATCTGATCTTGGGAGATATTACACCACTGAAAAAACAATGCTCTCCGAAGTTCCGGTAGACATGTAGGAGGAGGTTGACGGGCTGCAACTCGTCGGCGAAGCATGTCCCACACGTGCTCTACTGGATTCAACTCCGGTGAGAATGCTGGCCAGTCCATACGGGTGATAACCTTCGATTGAAGGCATTCGCTTACGATGTTTGCACGGTGAGGACGTTCGTTGTCATTCATAAACACAAATTGTGCGTCCATGGCGCCCCGAAACAAACGTACATGTTATTCCAGAATGACGCCCCGATAGATTTGGCTTATCATGGTTCCAATTTGAACATGCAGGTCAGTTCTGGAACCCAGAATAATTCCATCCCAAAAGAGCACTCCTGCACCACCGTAACGGTGTCGTTCAATGATGTTTTCTTGGTGGTAACGGGTACCTGAAGCTCTCTATATGAAAGTCCGGCGAGAATCAGACTGCAAGCTAAACCTGGACTCGTCGGAAAACATCACACAAGCCCACTGTTGCGGTGTCCACAATGCATGCTCTCTACTCCAGGCTAACCGCAGGCGACAGTGAGTTGGAGTAAGTGGAACGCATCTGACAGGTCTACGAGATATAGACCAATCTGCCCTAAGCGTCTGTACACGGTCTCCCTTGAAATTGTCGTACCAGTGGCTGAAGAGAGCTGACGAGACAGGTCTAAGGCTGTGCTCCACCTGTTTCTTTTGGCAGTAACTGCCAAATACCGGTCCTCATTCGGCGTTGTAACTCTGGGGCGACCTGTGCTGTAACGTTTACTCACATTACCATCATCTTGGAATCGTTGCCAAAGCCTGGAGATGACACTCTGGGCAATTCCAATTTCGTCCGATACTTCCAGTTGGGTACGCCCACATTCCAGACGGCCTATAATTCGACCACGTAAAAAATCATCCAAATGCGTCCTTTGTGTCATAACTATTCGGTTATTGCACTGAAATGCTTATAAAGCGCCTGCGAACAATTTTACTTGTTTGCCTGTACTCCTTATATATCACTCTCTTACACTCTCGTCATTGTGACGTACCATCGGTGTCATCTGGTTGCTTCCTGAAATTTGCATATGGTTCTTGAAGATGTGTGTAGTGATTTTACAGGTGATATATTTATTTTAGAGTTCGATTTCCGCGTGACTCCGAATTATCCTTAATTTATGGACATGAGTATAAATTTAAATGAAATACAGGATAAAATGCGTGTAATTTAATATTCCGTAGAAGGAACTCAGGTGCTGTGAAGATCAGATTTTTTTTTTCAACTTGAGGGGAAAAATACAGAACTAACACAGCACCATTTATACCCTTGTTAAAAAAAAAAAAAAAAAAAAAAAAAAAAAAAAAAAAAAAAAAAAAAGGATGGCTTATCAAGAACCAGTCGAGGTTTAATCAAACAAAAACGTGCTTATCAAGAACCAGTCGAGGTTTAATCAAACAAAAACGTGCTTATCAAGAACCAATCGAGGTTTAATCAAACAAAAACGTGACCCACCAGCAAACCGAGCGGTAAAATCGCTGAACACCGTTAGCTCCGACTTGGGTTGCATTCCAGGCGAACATAGCAGCTCCATGGGCTTTTATATGCTTTCTTCCAAGGTAACTTATTATATGAGCGATTTTCCTTTAGAAAGTCCTCCACGAAGGCATTCTTTCTCATAGACAGGTAGCCCTAGTTTGCTTTGCCGCAGTCAACTAAACCAACCAAACGAAAGCGAAAAAGTTCTGTGTGCGTTGTGACGTCACGAGCACATAACTGGCACCAAATTACGTCTCTTGTGGTTAGTTTCACGGTCGACGGGATAATACGTAAGTACCAAAATTTCATACAGTAGAGCAGATCAATTTCAATTACCATTTTTTACATAAAGAGAGAAATGTAATGTAACTTAATTACATTAATGACTACATTAATTAATTACATTAATGACGTGGGTATAAAATACCTTGTTTATACCCACGTCTGTAAATATTTATACTGACTGCCTGTCACTTCTCCATGCGCTCTCCCGCCCAGACAATTTCAACCCATTAATTGTCGAAATTAAGAGACATTTAGAAACTTTGAGTTTATATTTAAATATTAAGCAGCTATATTGGGTTAAAGCCCATATAGGCTATATTCGTAATGAGAGGGCCGACAGCCTGGCCAAGCAGGCGGTCTCAAATGTCAGTGCAATGGATATTGAAGTAACAGGTTCGGAAAGAATTGCAATTCGAAGAATGAAAAAATTTTACGTTAACAAATGGAAAATACAGTGGTTCTCTTCACCCAAAAACAAAGGATTTATGGAACTAATTAAAATCACAAACAAAATGAAATGCATGAACAATATTGATGTTAATCAGGTGTTAACTGGACATGGTAGGTTTCCGTTCTATTTCAACCGATTTAATCTGCAGGAAAATAAACTATGTAACAGTTGTCGGGTTGATAATGATGCTAGGCATTTTGTGGTTGATTGTACTTGAACAGCCCCTATTAGACGCATTTTTAACAGTACTGATTTTAATGTAAGTGCCATTAATTTTAAAGTTTTTAAATCATATTCTATTGCTGTAATGAAATTTATGAATGAAAATAGGGCGCTAGTAGGAATCTTCTGTTAAAATTGAATTTTGTGTTTATATGGGTTTTGGATATCTGTGGTGTTCTGTGTTGTGAATTTGTGTTTATGGATTTTTTTGTTTGTTTGTTAGTCTGTAATTTTGTGTTAGATGTGCTTATTTAGTTTTGATTTAGTATTTTTGTTTGTTGTTTGGGGGTGGCTGGATTACTGGCTGCCCTCGTTTGTGGAGATACGGGGCCCCTTCTTTTGGGCTATGGGGACACTTGTGTCCAGTTGGGCTGAAGGGAGCCTCCAATTCTTACAATTCTTACATTAATGACTGCAACTCCAAACAAAATTTTCATCATATCACTGTTTATTATTATTATTATTATTATTATTATTATTATTATTATTTTTCGAGTGGGGGGACGTCAAGAAAGGTATTTTGCACCGAACGCCAGTTATGCTCGCTACTCCATTGCCCAACTTCAACTGATTCTCATTAAAACTCAAAACTGTGTGTAAAAGAGTTGCATTTATATTTAGTTCAAACTTAAATAAAAAACCTCTCTCTCCATATATATATATATAATTTTATTAATTTAAAAATAGCAAAATACTAAGCTTGAAAATAACTAAAAGTAACGTAACTGGTTCGAAGATCAAACTAACCTGTTATACTTAAAGTAATTTTTTTCATATCGAATCCATGTTGATTACGGGCAGTGCAAAAAATATCGAAAATTCCACAGCTGTTTAGCTTCACTTTAACGAAAGCTTGATATTCATACTTTTGCAGAAGCTTGACGCTTACCTTCAAGTCAGGAAGTTCACTGGAAACATGAAACATGTGGGGTTATGAATAAATAAACTGATATATGAAGAATTAAACAACACAGTTTTGCATCAGAAATAGACAACATTTTGCATGGTTAACAGGAAACTTCGAAGAGCTTTAGCCGCGCTAGACGTATATTGTTTGAAAATTCCTGTTTAGGGGTCTAAGCAATGAGAGATTTTATAATTATTTGGGGTGAATCTTTACATTATGGTAACTTGGCGATTTTTTGGCGAAAATTTCGCGACCAACCCTGCTACAGGAACCTGCTAGTTTTGTTCTGAAGGTGTCCGCCGATAACATCGCGGACGAAAACGTCGCGGAGAAAACAACGCAAGGCGAAAACGTTTTGCTACAAAACATTGTGGGAGAAAACATCGCAGTCCTAAAACATCCTGGTACAAAACATCGTCGTCGAAAATATCGTGGTAAAAAATAAAGTATCTACAAATCATCGCCTGACGATAACATCGCAGACATGCTTTTTTCAAGTTTTAATAATTGTAAATGGATATTCCCATAATGATTTGTGAGTGCAAGATGTAAAGAAGGATAATTTTTACTTTCACAGTTCTTTATTGACTAATAAAGTTCTTCTGAAAACGTAAGAAGGAAACTTAAGCATAGACAATTAAATGCAACTTACAGCTTATACTTATCATGAAAAATTACCAGTGAAAACTTTATAAAAAATGATTTATTAATGGTCTTTTTTAGTTAACTATGTCGGTTTAAAATTCAGTGCTATAAGTTGCATTAATTTTCTATGCTTAAGTTTCCTTCTCATTTTCTCAGCAAAAATTTATTAGTTAATATAAAATATGAAAAACTAATTATCCTCCTTTCTATGTTGTGCTCACAAATCATTATGGGAATATCTAATTGCAGTTATTAAAATCTGAAAAAAGCATGTCTGCGATGTTATCTTCACGCGATGATTTGTAGATACTTTATTTTTTACCACGATATTTTCGACGACGGTGTTTTTAAACTGCGAAGTTTTTGAATCGCTTTATTTTCGACGACAATGTTTTGTATCACGATGTTTTAGGGCTGCGATGTTTTCTCCCACGATGTTTTGTAGCACGACGTTTTCGCCTTGCGTTTTCTTCTCCGCGACGTTTTCGTTCGCGATGTTTTCGGCTGTGACCGTTTCGGACGTCATTTTGTTTTCACGAAGTAAAGGCATGTTTTTTTTTTTTTACTCAACATTTTTTCCAACAATCTGCTAGCCGAATTACGCTTATACTACAACTTTTATGGAACAAAAATGCTTAATCATGACGAAGATTAGGTGCGAATTTCGGAGAAAGTGCAGAATCTCAAACTGCTTGCCGCGTTTTTAAGAATTGCACATACACGGTATCCATGTACACGTCGACCTATTTTTCACTTAAAAAAACATCCCAGAATTGCACAAAAATGGCATTGCGCACACGCTTGACTTCATCCATGTACACATCGATCTATTTTCACTTAAAAAGTCAAAGAAAATTGACAAAAATCTAATTCTTCTTACTCTTGTAAAAAGCGCCAAACAAATAAGTGGGCGATTCTGCACTTTAGCGGCGAAATTGTTTCTAAGTGCTTATTAGCTAAAAATCACGATCGGAATTTTCCGGAAAATGTCGCATGACATGTCTCATGATGTCTCATTTCTCTGAGACAAAATAATCTGTGATTCGAATGTGCACTTCTCAGATTATTGCTAAAGTCCTAGCTAGTAACCTTTATCGCCTTACCAAAATGTCGCCAAACTACCTGTTACCATATTCTAAAGATTGGCCATTATTGGAATTGTTTATTTAAGTATGTTTGCAGCACTTTAAAGGATAAGCGAGCTTGCTTTCTTTAATATTAAAAGTGTTCAGTTTATAAGGTATTTCTTCCTCCTTCTAGCATGTCTTCGGGGTGTAATGGTTAGCACACTAGGCGCGTATTAGAAAATTTCAGATTCGAGTCCCGGCGAGGGACTGCTTATTTTTCGCGTCACCCGCATAAAAACAATCTTATGTCTCTACAGTGGCACCCGAACTAAAAGGCGGTGAATGATGATTATTCACCACCAGGATTTGGCGATTGCGTTCCCTAATCCCAGGTCGACCTTTAAAAGAGGGCGTATATAAGGTATTTCTTCCTCCTAGCATGCTTTGCTCTTCTAGCATGCCTCCGTGGTGCAATGGTTAGCACACTCGACGCGTATTCGAGAGGTCGAGGTTAGAGACCCGGCGAGGGCATTGGTCATTTTTCATGTACTCCTACTTCAAATAACCTAACAAATTTTTAAAGGAACTGCATTTATATACGCTTCTGGATTAAATACATAATATACAGGAAAAAATTACATTTTATTCAAAACAGCAACAATTTGAAAAATAAACAACTTAAATAAAAAATAGCTGACAAAAGAATAATAAGAAAAACAGAAATATATTGCATATAAAACGATATAAGATAGAAAATGAATATGTTTAGGCGCTAATGCTATACGAAATGGGTAAACATTTTAATTTTGTCTCTTGAGAAATTCAATTTGATGTTGAATTTCTTCACTATTGTTTTGTACATAAATTATGCAATATTACGCAGTATTAAAGCCAAGCAATATTAAAAATGCTTATAAAATCGGAAAAAAATGTTCTCTATGATTTCTTCGCTGCTTTAAAATTGTGCTGTGTCCCCAATCAAAACATTATTCCATTAACATAAACAACTTATCGAATCAGTCCATAAGTTCGTGCGCATTAAGATTATGCGTGGAATTCACTATGACGCATTTACTAACACAATACAGTTTTGACCTGTTGAAACTTGTCATCGTATGACTAACATATTATTCAGTTCGTTACCAACTTTCGAAAATATTGAACGCATTTCAGTGCCCATAGAAGATGAATATAGATAATCAGTACAAACGTACTGTGCTACATTTTTTTTTATTTTCGTGTGGTGAATCTGCCAGGTTTGCAGCGATAAAAATTAATAGTGTACAAGGTGAACACACTATTAATGTAAGGACTGCGTAGAAATGGTTTAAAAAAATTTAAAGTTGGAAACAGCAGCATGGATGATGAACCCCGTTCAGGACCTTTTGAACTGTTAGAACCAAATCAAACGCTTGATTCAGAAGTTTATGGTGAACAACTTTGCCGTTTAAACTCAGAATTGATCAAAAAAACGTCCACGGTTGGTGAATATCAAGAAAGGGTTGTTTCATCGTGATAACGCTAGACCGTATACGGCTCGAACAACGCTGCAAAAAGTGAGTGAATTTAATTGGGAGCTTTTGCCACATCCTGCTTACTCCCCAGATATTGCTTCCAGGTGATTTTCACTTATGTCGTGCCTTACAAAATTTTTTACTGAGAAAAAAATTAAATTCTAAACAGGAAGTACACAACGAACGTTCAATTTTTTTTTTTCGCATCAAAACCAGAGCCTTTCTACAGCAATGGCATAAAAAAGCTGCCTGTAAGATGGCGAGACAATGTAGATAATGGAGGAAATATATAATTGATTAAGGGGTATCAGAAATCCCTATACCGACAATGTTAAATTAGCCATTTTCGATGTACCTTTTCTCAAAATCTGTTGTAGATACAAGCTTGAATTTTTTTATGTAATTAAAGTATACCTATCTGATTATACTGAAATGAGCTTTTGAAACATTTTAAATTTTAGAGTAAATTAAAGAATATTTTGTTAGGCATAGTAAATTTTAGCACTTTTCTCACACAAAAAATTAAAAAAAAATTTGTTTCTAAGTTTATTACAAAAAGCTCATTTTATTAAATATTAGAGAACCTAATAAATAAGCCATAAAAAGTTTAGATACCTGTGAGTAGTAGTTCCTGAGAAAAAGTACATTGAGTATAAAAAAATCACGTTTGGAGAAAAACGCGTTTTTATGTAAAGATCCTCATTGATCAAAGCAGTCGATGACATATTAAAACTAGATTTTTTTTACAGTTCTAATTCTCATAGAGATTAAAGAATGGTATTTTTAGAAAGATAAAAGTGTAGAGAATTTGAAAATGCAAAAATCTGAAATCACAATTTTTCGAAGATTTTGGGGTTCCAACACCCCTTAAAATGTTAAATTGTGTTTTTTTTTTTTTTTTTTTTTTTTTTTTTTTTTTTTTTTTTTTATAATTTTCAAAAATTTACTAAAAAAATAAGCACGAATTTATGGACTGACCCAATATATATAAGCTTATTCCTAGAAGGATTTATAATTGTTTGAAGTATTGGGCCATGCGAAAGAAAAGTACATAAAAATGTGGTTTTGAATCTATTACACTTTTTATGTATTTCAAGACATTTATACATTGTGGGTTCCACCCTTTTAATCTAACAGCTAAGTGTGTAGGAACCCCTCGTGAACAGTTAACCGAATAATCGCTTTAGTTCATGAACAGAGAATAAACTCGAGAAGGGTTAATTACCCTTTATTTCTCAAAATAAGAAATAAGCAGACGGCCCCTTTCTCAGGCGTACAGCAAAGCCTCCACTTGGTCTTCAACTCACAGTAATAAGACTTAACTAAAAAGATATATCTAAAGCTATCAAAATTCTGAGTAGTTGTCGCCTAAATATCGAATAAGCTAGCGAAGCTATTAAGGGCCGAGCGTAGTAACAGCTTGGAGCGTAGTAACAGTAATACGGCCGAGCGTAGTAACTAGCTTATAAAGACTTAGCCAAAAGTTGAACGCGCGCTTAGTTAGCAAGTCTGAGGCTTTCTCTCTAAGTCAGTGGAACCTCGACTTAAATAACACTCATTTGCATTAAACGCGATTCTAAAATCACATTCTGGCAGGAAATTGTAAGCTGAAATTAGGAAGGAATGGAAAGTAGCTTTAACTAAAATGAACTGTTAAAAACTTAGGATAAACCTTACAACGGCTAATCTTTGGAATATGGTAACAGGTAGTTTGGCGATATTTTGGTAAGGCGATAAAGGTTACTAGCTAGGACTTTAGCAGTGCACATGGATAAAGTCAAGAGTGTACGCAATGCCATTTTGTGCAGTTCTGGGATGTTTTTACTTCCTTGTACGAAGTAAAAAGAAAGTATTGTAATCGCGAAAAGTTTCAGGCAGCATATTTCACCGAAAATATCCATTTTGACCGCTATCGAAACCAATTTAACGATGTTTTTGTGTGATAATAAAAAACTCTTTTCCTTCAATATATATATATATATATATATATATATATATATGTATGTATGTATATGTATGAAACTGCTTTAAAATTAATTCTGAACAGAATCTTTCGTGGCGTCTGTACGAACGTATGTACGTACGTACGTATCTCGCATAACTCAAAAACGAGTAGCCTCAGAACGTTGAAATTTTGTATATAGGACTCCTATAACATGTAGACGTGCACCTCGTATTTTGGTTGCAATAGGCCGCACCAAAGGTATATAAATATATTTATATATATATCCACTCTGTTACCCGGCTCGGTGATCTCAGTTTCTTTACTCTTATATGTTTGAAAATTGTACATTTGTTGCTTTAAAAATGATTGTATTATGTTGTTGTTATCTTCCGGTTAAGGTTCTTATGCCTTTAGTAAATGTGTATGCAATATTTTTAGAATTATCAACAATTTTAAAGTTGTCTAAGTGCCGCTAAGCCTTTTTTTTTTATGGTGGCCATTGATGTTTACATTTGAAACAGGAAAATAGTGGATTTGTTGCCAATCTAGAGAAACTTAGCTTCGCAACAACAAAGATAACGCATTCATTTATTATTGCCAATTAAATCATGTTTAATACTGTCTGGAATTTTTTCGAGGAAATAAGTATTTCAGATTTACTTCCTAATTTTTAGTATAGATATTTTTAGTTTTTATGTATTTTTGCCTTCTCGCGAAGTGAGAACTGAATTAATTGAGAAATATTCAATCGTCTGTGAAAAACTGTTTCTTTTTTGCTTTGTTTGCTTAATTTCTTTTATACATCGTTCTAGCTTTATTATAGTATTTGAATAGAACATGTGGCAACAATTAGATAATTCTATTCTTTAAATGATATAAATTTTGTGCATTATGAGTTATAATATGAATGAAATATATAAGTTAACTGTTATATAATTATTGGATTATATAACAGTTAACGGTACTATTCCGTTTTGAGGACCGTAAAAAAAGTGCAGCGAAAATGTATGCGCAAATGTGCCAAATCTAGCAAACGCGCCCATTTAACAGCACGCCATTGAAATACTAGTTTAATTTTTAAATCTTTTTTTTTTTTTTTTTTTTTTTTTTTTGATATTCTATGAATTTCACAATTTGGGAATTGCCCATGACCAAAAGTCTGCAATAGAATTTTGGGTAAAGAGCAGAATCATCCACTGTTTGACGCGTTTTTAAGAATTGCACATACTCGGTATCCATGTACACATCGATCCATTTTCACTTCAAAAAAAAATCCCAGAATTGCACAAAAATGGCACTGCGCACACCCTTGACTTTATCTATATACCCATCGACCTATTTTTTCTTAAAATGTAAAAGAAAATTGACAAAAATTCAAATGTTCTTACCCTTATAAAAAGCGGCAAACAAATAAGTGGGCGATTCTGCACGTTACCGAGAATTTTTTCAAAGAAAAAGCATCATTCATTATAGAAAATTACGTTTGAACAACCAACGAGATGAAATTATGCTTTAGCGATAAGTCGGTAGCGCAATAGCGATGCAGGCATCCATTCATTTATGTTTAGCAATTTTTATATAAGTATTATATGAAATTAACCTTTCATCTAAATTAAAACATCAATCTTAAATAGTTATTTACTATTATACTTCCTTTCTTGCGTTAGGGTTGCCGCAATTATTTTTGGCAGCCCTGGCATCAACAATAGTTTGGCGATTTTTTACGGCCCTCAAAACCGAATAGTACCCAGTTAACTTAGTTTCCGTTATATAATTATTAATACTGTTAAGTGAATCTAGCGCCAGAGTGTAGCTAGGTTAAACAAATACTAGAGTGAATTTTAAAGAATGCATTTATTCTATTGTGGTTTATGCGCTGTCGGCGAAGAAGATTTAATTCAAACCAATAAGTTTAAATGAAATGCAAGAAAAAATGCGTAGAATTTAATATTCCGTACAAGGAAGTCATGTGGTGTACACATCAGATTTTTTATTTTAAGTGAAAATGGGTCGACTTGTACATGGATACCGTGTATGTGGAATTCTTAAAAACGCGGCAAGCAGTTTGCGATTGTGCACTTTCTCCCAATTTCGCGCCTAATATTCGTCATGATTAAGCACTTTTGTTCCATTAAAGTTCTAGCATAAGCGTAATTCGGCTAGCAGATTGATGGGAAAAAAATGTTGAGTAAAAAAAAAAAAAAAAAGCCTTTACTTCGTGAAAACAAAATGGCGTCGAAACAAAAACTAGCAGTTTGCTGTAGCAGGGTTGGTCGCTAAATTTTCGCCAGAAAGTCGCCAAGTTACCATAATCCAAAGATTAACCCTTACAACTTTTCTAGTGTCTTAAATTTTAAATATTATATTTATTGTTTTATAAATTTTCCAATAACTTTAGGAAAAGAAGACTTATTAATATTTTTATTTGTACCAATTATTCAATATTTTGTAAACTAGCATAAGCGTAATTCGGCTAGCAGATTGATGGGAAAAAAATGTTGAGTTAAAAAAAAAAAAAAAAATGCCTTTACTTCGTGAAAACAAAATGGCGTCGAAACAAAAACTAGCAGTTTGCTGTAGCAGGGTTGGTCGCTAAATTTTCGCCAGAAAGTCGCCAGGTTACCATAATCCAAAGATTAAACCTTACAACTTTTCTAGTGTCTTAAATTTTAAATATTATATTTATTGTTTTATAAATTTTCCAATAACTTTAGGAAAAGAAGACTTATTAATATTTTTATTTGTACCAATTATTCAACATTTTGTAAACTACCATCTTACTAGCTTCATTCATTATGCTTTTAATTAAAATATTAAAATAGCTAACGGTATTTAAAAAAGAAAAATCCAAAAGAGAAAAATCAAGGGGGGAATAAAAACCTGCTGAATATATCCATTAGAGGTTCAGGAATTCCAGTCGCTGTACAAGAAAGAAACATTTGTTCCCCGAAAACTGCTCTTATGTTTTCGGAAGCGTATATTATGTGAGGTTCACCTGAAAAAAGAATAAATATATCCGCATGTACTAGACATATATTAGTTGTTTAAAATACGTATTAAAAATACATTGGAAAATTTTAATTTCTTATCATTTATTATATCACAGTGTAATAACACTTGCTAAATACTACTTATGTCAACGGCTTGTTACTTGCAATGCAATCAAATATGAAATTATTGCCTAATAATTAGGTTGAACATTCAGGCAATGAAAGGAACAATTAAAATAGAATTTATTTACCGCAGCTTCAAAATTACACACTGAATGCAGCATATAATAAGGCAATAGAAACTAAACAATTCTTTCTGTGCATATATCCTTAATGCAAAGTTTGTAACACCTGCTGTGGGCCCCAGGTAATTTACCTAATCAATACAGTAAACATAAATGTATGTTAAGTACCTTTACTGCCATTCTCCTTTTCTGCCAGAATGCTAATTTTAGCTCGCGCGTATTCAAATGAGGCAGAAAGAAATAGCCTTTAGAGGGAGGTTTCTGATTATTTGGACAGAGCGTGTTCCGCCTGATGAAGGCCACGTTACTAGTTGAAATTCTGCGATAGCAGTCTGTCTTTGGCTTTCCTTTTTTACTTCCTTGTACGAAGTAAAAAGGAAGTATTGTAATCGCGAAAAGTTTCAGGCAGCATATTTCAAAGAAAATATCCATTTTGACCGCTATCGAATGCAATTTAACGATGTTTTTGCGTGATATCTGTACGTAAGGACAGAATAAAAGACTCTTATCCTCCAAAAAAGTTATAAAACTGCTTTAAAATTAATTATGAAAAGAATTTTTCGTGGCGTCTGTACGAACGTATGTACGTACGTGCGTACGTACGTATCTCGCATAACTCAAAAACGAGTAGCCTGAGAACGTTGAAATTTTGTATATAGGAGTGCTGAACGCTGCTCAAGTGGACTGCCGCCCTTAACTATAGTAAGCCTTACGGTATTTGTTTCCACTTGGCAGATGCTGTCTAATCATGACTCGCTGATCCGACAGCATTTATTATTTCAAAATCTTAGGTTTCATAATCACTCATTATTTTACATAGGTTTTTAGTATCTATAACTGCCTGGTTGTTAACTCAAGTTCTATTTTAACTACTACGCTGCTAACTATACTACACTACTTTAACATGGGCAATGTTGCTATACTTCCTTTTCACTACAATACTACTTCAATGTTTTACACTAGACCACACTACATTTTACACTGAGTACTATACATTGTAACAATATCATATATAAATGCAAGACATAGAAGAATATATTAATGCAAGACATAGATAGAATATCCTATATAAATGCAAGACATAGTAAACCTGGTTATAAATATAATACGATAATATTAGATAATTTTTCTATCGCACAATTTCGAGTACAATACAATGCCTACAAAAACTTTACACTCTAGTACTATAAGCTACAAAAGTACAAACTCGGCTAGAATTGCATTTTACATTGGGTACAATACATTGTGATTCTATTATATATATGTACAAAATTTACAAAATATATAAGCATTAAAGTCGCATAACCTCATACTACTACTTATACAGATATACTGAACAATTACTGTAAATACAGTAGCTCTATATCTTGATTACAATTCACACTGTACTAGTTAGCCATATTAATTACAAAATTAAGAAATAATATACAATGTTAATCAAACCATACACTGTTATTCATTATTGATGCAGGTACCCAAAGATAATACTATAAATGAAAAATGCTAAGGTTAGGTTACAATACACTTTTCAAAACCATTCCTAGTTAGCAAATACAGTGGAACTACCAACAACATGATTTAAACATTGATATTTCAAGCATAAAGCATAATCCAATTTATATTCTGTACTCTAACTTTAAAAAAAAAAAAAAAAAAAAAAAAAAAAAAAAAAAAAAAACTTTTATTTTTCCCCTTTTTTTTGGGGGGGGGGGGTAACAATAGGTTATGCCTCCATCTATGCTGAGTAAATAAATAAATATAATTCTGCCAATGATGGAATAGAAACAATTCAACAATGATACAGTTATATAACTAGTAATTTTTACAATACGTTTTAATGATTCTTTCAGTTATGAGACTTATTAATTGTAGGGTAATCTAAAAGTCACAAAGATGTGTACAATGAAAAATTAAGAATCTATGCACCAATGTGGTTAAATCACACAAACATTGAACAGTTCAAGGTTCTGCAATGGTAATAAAGCTAATGTTATGTCATTCACAAGGAAGTCTTTACCCTAAGATGATCCTTTAATTGTGAGCGTACAAGGTACAGATGTGTGCAGTAATTGTCAATTATTCTGAAGTGTTCGCTCTGTTTATGCCTGCATGACTCTGTGCACAGTACTTTAATACCTCATTCAATTTGCGTTTAGCAATACTATTCTTGCAGATTGTTTCTGCCCATTGTGGCCAAAATAAATCACTTGGTCTCCTCAGGTGATAAGGTTTGGTGGATGCCACAATGGAAGAGAGATAGTGATCTGGATCACCTACCTCTCCACATTCACAGAATTCTGTTCCGCTTAAGTGGAACCTCTTTAAATAGGTAGGGAATGGTCCATGTCCAGAAAAAAAGTGGGTCTGTGCACCGTTCGTAACTTTTGCTACAGTTCCCACTTTTGGAAGAAAAGTGTAGGTCCTTCTACCCGTGGGTGCTGAGTCCCACCTTTCCTGCCACTGGCATAATAAATTTTCAAGAGTACTTCTCTTGAGATAAGAGGTTGGGAGTTTCACAGGATATTCTCTCCGGCTTTTATCATTTGATGCCGATTTGGCAAGCTCATCTGCCTTTTCATTGCCTGTGATGCCCACATGAGCTGGGACCCAGACCAAGTGTGGACGTAAGGATATATAGGAGTGCTATAACATGTAGATGTGCACCTCGTATTTTGGTTGCAATCGGCCGCACCAAACATATATAAATAATTTATATATATATATCCTCTGTTACCGGCTCAGTGATCTCATTTCTTTACTCGATGTTTGTAAATTGTACATTTTTGCTTTTAAAATGATTCAATTATGTTGTTCTTACCTTCCGGTGAAGGTTTTTATGCCTTTCGTAATTCTGGAATCAATATTTGTACAATTATCAACAATTTAAAAGCTCTTTAAGTGCGGTTAAGTTTTAAATAACATGGCGGACATATTTGTTTACATTTGAAACAGCAGAATTGTAGATTTGTTGCCACTCTACAGAGACTAAGCTTCGCAACAACAAAGATAACGCCTTCATTTATTATTGCGAATTAAATCACGCTTAATCCTTTCTAGGAATTTTTCGAGGAAATAAGTGTTTAAGATTTACTTCGTAATTTTTAAGGCAGATATTTTGAGCTTTTATGTATTTTTGCCTTGTTCCGAAGTGAGAACGGAATTAATTGAATGAGATATACTCAATCGTCTGTGAAAAACTATTTCTTTTCTGTTTTGTTTGCTTAATTTGTTTCATACATCGTTTTGGCTTTATTATAGTATTTGAATAGAGCATGTGGCAACGATAATTCTTCAAATGATATAAATTTTGTGCATTGAGTGTCGTTATAATAAACAAATATAGTGAATTTTAAAGAGCGCATTTATTCTATTGTGGTTTATGCGCTGTCGTCGAAGTAGATTTAATTCAATCCAATCAATTTAAATGAAATTCAAGAAAAAAATGCGTATAATTTAATATTCCGTACAAGGAAGTCATGTGGTGTACACATCAGATTTTTTATTCTTGCCAATAATGCTTGTCACGCCAGTATTGGTTTCAGCCAACTTGAGCTTTAATTCTCTCTATGTAGCTTTTGACTAACTTAGACGAAATCCTATTTTTTAAGTTACGTTATAAATGGTAAGCTGGTTTTGTAACCACAAGAAAAGCCTTCTCTTGACCATTTGATTTCTTAATAAAAAGGGTCTTTTACACCTTTCTTACGTTCTGTGTTTTCTCACAAGACACAGCGATAATTCGCTTTAGCCATCCATAGTCCAAGAATGTGAGACTCTAGGTATTAGTTATGTTCTGTGACACAGAATTAAAATTCTTTATAATTGTTCTACCTCACATTCTGTGAGTGATTAATTTAAAATATGCAAGCGTAAAATTGTGGGCCAACCTGGATCTGGCTTCAGCACCTTCCTTTCTAAACTGAATAAATTCAATAATTTTAATTCAACTTGGATAGAGAGCTTTACCTGGACCGCGATAAGACAAGACCAGCTAAAGATCAAGGTTGTAATAGATGAATGCGTAGTAATGTAGAGGGCAGAGCCCAGCAACAGGAGTGCACATTTGCAGTAAAGACCATAGTGGGTCCACTTGTTCTTTATTTCATAAATTACGATTTCATATTTTTAATTTTAGAATTTCTGCATGCCATCTTACGAGATTTAAACTGATGATCTATAATCCGGAAAAATCGATAATCCGGAATCGCCGAAGTCCCGACGAGTCCGGATTAACGACTTTTGACTGTATTATACTCTTAAAGCTCCTACACTGTTCTGTCTGTACCCTGTTGTTGGTAACCACTAGCATTTCTCTATGTATTGTTTGAATTTCTATATGCATAATTGTACGAGTATCATATGCATGCCTATTATTAACTTGTAACTCTATGTAATTCTACGCACTTGTACCTCTTTAATCATATGTAATGCAACAATAGTGTATATTTTCATATTCAGTTGTAATCAACTATTACTTGATTAATGCGGTATGACAATAGAATGTTGGCAACTCTTCAAGGGCCCCGTAACCGCGCCTATGTTGTGAACACTCCTTTTTACTTTTTACGAAGTAAAAAGGAAGTATTCTAATCGCTAAAAGTCTCAAGCGGAATATTTTAAAGAAAATATCCATTTTGCCCGTGATCGAATGCAATTTAACGATGTTTTTGCGTGATATCTGTACGTAAGGACGGAATAAAAGACTCTTTTCCTCCAAAAAAAAAAAAAAAAAAAAAATTATAAAACTGCTTTAAAATGAA